CATGGTCAGGGAAGTGGGTGAGAAGGACAGCGGGGGGGAATATTTGATTTTAGTGGGTCAGGGAAAACAGAGGAGCAAATAGGGGGTAAGGTATAAGCCATGAAGGGACAGAATGGACAGAAAACGGAAGAGGTCGGAGAATGGGAAAGGAGGGTATCCATGCGGATCGAGAAAGGAGTAGGTAAATGTGGAGAATGGTTAATAATGGTTAATGGTTAAAAGCAAGATAAATGTGCTAGACATCTAAGGTCATGTAGCACTATAGTTAATGTTAGTGAAAGGTGTTTGAGTTAGTGGTTAGTTGTCTAAGCTGGGCAAAGGAATTGGTGAGTTAAAGGGTTAAGGTCGGGTGTTAGATTAGATAAAGGATATGTATGCGTTTGAGGAAAGAGAACAGGTTGTTGATGCAGAAAGTGTGGGATTCTGTAAGGATGTCTGATAGGTTGGGAGGTCGGTGAAGGGAGGATAGGTGGGGGAAAGCAGAGGTACGGGCTGCTTCAAAACGTGGGCACGACAATAGGATGTGTACGATTGAAAGGGGAACATTACATAAGGAACATAGGGGTGGATCAGATTGTGACATCAGATAGGAGTGTGTTAGACGGGTGTGGCCAATGCGTAAGCGGGCGAGAGCAGTCTCCCAACGTCTGTTCCGATGAATAAATGTGGAGAAGCAACAGTAGGAAGTAAAGTTGAGGCAGAGGAATAGATATGGCATCCATATTTGAGAGTGGAGAGGATCAAGGTAACATGAAGCTGGAGGAGAGTTTAGCGATCTGAGCCCCAGGATATGTTCATGTGGGACAGAGTTTGTAAGATTCGGAGACGGTGGCGAGCGTTTTCTTTAATGTAAAAGATATGGTCTTGCCAGGACAATTTAGAATAAAAAATAACACCAAGGAATTTGCCAGAGGAAGGGTACTATAAGAAGAGTGGAGGTTGGGGACCTACACGTACACAATAGAAAATTATGGAACAAGATTTGGAGGTAGAAAAGTGGAAGCCAAGGTTAGTGACCCAGGAAGATACTGATGATATTACAGACTGAAGGAATTGGCGGAGGTTTGGTATGGATGTACCAGAGGTGAAGATGGTTAAATCATTAACATATAGTGATGACCGGGCTCCTGGTGGTAGAACTGAGACAATGTCAATAACAGTAACAGCAAGAAGGAATAAAGTAGTGCTGAGCACACTCCCCTGTGGGACACCTTCGAACTGAGGAAAGAAGGATGATGTGGAAGAGGCAATTTTGACCTGGAAAGTGCATTTGGAGAGGAAAGACCTGTGTCTCTGTGTATGCCAAGGGAGGATGATTGTGAAAGAATATAGTATCACCACATAGTATCATATGCTTTTTTCTAGGTCAAAGAATATGGCTAATACAGATTCATGGCGTGCAAATGCAGATGTAATATATGTCTCGAAATGAGCAAGGGGGTCAGCTGTACTTCGGGCACGGTGGAAACCAGACTGGGAAGGAGAGAAGAGATTGTGAGATTCAAGATACCACATTAAGCTGAAGAAACATTCACTCTAGTAGTTTGCATAAGCAGATAGTTTGAGCGATGGAGTGGTAATCTAGGGGGAGGGTGCCCGATTTATTGGGTTTCAGGAAAGGGAGGATAAGTAAGAGCTTCTCATTAATGAGAAGGGGAATTTCCTGGCGTCTATATGGTTGAAAATTGTTAATAGGAAGGATAGAGAGGAAGATGGAAGGTGTTGGAGCATACAGTAGTGAATACCATCAGGGCCTTCTTAAATGTTGCAGCATTGAGTTCAGAGGAAGAAAAAGGAGCATCATAGGATAGGGTGAAGATAATGGGGGTGCATTCCCTGATGGTCTTAATAGAAGAGAAGTGTGGTGAAAGGTGAGAACCACTACTGACCTAGTTGAAATAATCACCTAGTTCATTCGCAACTTGGAGAGGATCAGAGATGAGAGTATCTCAAATATGGAGAAGAGGGGAGGCAGAAAATGGGGGAAGGAATGGAAAGAAGAGGAGGGGGAAAAAGGGGGAGGTAGAAAAGATTGCATCACACCAACAACAGCTGGATGTTGGGTCTGTTTGCTTGATGGTTTATGGATCCGGCACCAAACAGTTAAGATAGATGTAGAAGGTATAATTTCGCCATCTATTTGTTTTACTGTTCCATATTGAATGACGACGATGATGATTAGAGGTGCCTCATTTGTGGCGGTTTCTGTTCCAGGGAGTTAGGAAGTGGTACATATGAAGTAGGAGAAAGAACTGGAAAGTGGTCACTATAGGGAAAGTGGTCTAGAACTGACCAATGAAAATCTAAATGAAGAGAAGGGGAGCGTAGAGAGGGGTGTAGGAGGATGATGGAGCTTAATTTGAGGGTGGATAATGGGACTACCGTGCCCATGGCTCCCTCAGGCCATTCAGGACTGGCGCAAAGTTAGCCTTTCATCCTTTCAGCTCGGCTCTCACACCTTAGGAAGTGGATAGTAGAAGGGGTTGGGGAAGGGAGGGAAATGAAAAAACAGGAGGGGAAAAAAAGACCATGCAGCATTAGTTAAATTGAGGGTTAAGTCCCAAGGCAGGGGAGTTCCCCAGCATTGGGTCCCAGTCTTCGCCTCCTAAGCCCCCCATGACAACAATGCAAAGCTAAATTCTTTACTCCCTTTTAAACCGAGAGGAATCTTGTTTCACTTATTTCTCAAATGCTATTCAAATTCAGACACTATTTTGTAAAAAAAAAAAAAAAAATCTGACATTCACTATTAAGCAGAATCAATTACACAAAATAGAAACTATATTGTAGTGCAAATTACATCAGTTTCACATTTTTCTATACATATTTATTCCATGTGATCTTATATCTCAGTATATTACAATTACTTAATTACCTTAGTCTTTCAAAAAACATGCTTCTTGAACTCCCCCCTCCATCAAAAGGATAAACAAAGAAATGAAACACAATATAGAAATAGAACATAAAACATGTATTTTATGATTCTGGTGTAACAACTATGGGCTGTACAGTGATAATTAAACAAGTGTTGACCTGCCGTGAGGAGTTACTGCTACTCCAGCCATACGGAACTTTCTTGGGGTTGCCTAATTTCATAAAACCCCTGACCATGACTTTGTCTATGGTAGAACAAATCCAATATATAACTTTTGACAAGAACGTTTTTCATTTTGGTTAGTTTGTTTTTGTTTATTTTTCTTGTTTTGTTTTGTGGCAAGTGTAAATGCCATTTGCTCATATAACAATCATCACATCTTGAGCAGTGAGGATTTCTGTTTCTTACATGGATAAAACTATTAACATTAGGTATAAATAAAGGAAAAAAAATTGCCAGCATAACTAGAAAATTCAAGTTTAACATGATATTTGGCCTAATTATATTTTCTGAGCTGCTTATGCATTAAATGAAGTGTGCAATTCCTGGACATAAGCATAAATTTTGGTCTTTCACACATACAAAGAACATTTTCACAAAAAATAAATATACCTTATTTCTTTATCCTGATTTAAAATGAACTGGTAATCTTTAAAAGAAACAAGAAGACCAAAGACAAGTCTACAAGAAAAAAGAAAAAAATTCTATTCAAAAATTGAACTCCTTTCAGATTTACATTAAACTTTTCCCAGACTTGAACAAGGACATAATCCTATAATGCCACTTTTTGTAGTATTCACACATGCCATTACACTGTTTCTGGGGTACTTCTCTCATAAGATACCCCTAGACTTAAGAATTAAATAAGCATTTGTAGATATTAAATGCTAGATGAAAGTTTAGTAAAGCATCTGACATCACTATTTCTCTATATTAGGCCACATAAAAATGTGTCTTGTTATCTTACTCCAGAGTGCCTCCACTCTGGACACAAAAAAGAGTAAATAAGACCAAGGAATTGCAGTCGTTCACAGATAAAAACTTGCATGAAACAGAGGCTCAGGCCACCTGTTCTGTGTTCTGCATATTTACCCAAAACTTTAAATTGCTGGCATTCAGTTTCTAAAAAACAACTAAATGCTGATGCCCAGTAATGGAAACAAGGTAGAGTGCTCTCATTTCAACTGGTAAAAATGCTAGTGATAAAAAGCTTATCAACATATCTAAATTACATCAAATGAGTTGTGTTGATAGGCAATGTACGTAGGCAAGAGCCTAGGCTAGGTTCATGCAAGTGCACATGTACAACTTGTACTTCGCAGGAGACATCATTTACATGAGTATGAGGAAGATACACAGTAAAAAATTTTAAAGTCCGTATAAAAAATATTACAAATTTTCATAAATACCTTATGGTTTGCGCCTCCACTCAATCTTTCACACACATTCCATCATATATTACTCACAATATACATAATTCTCAAAAAGGCATTCACTCGTGTTAGTTTCACAATAAAAAACTTCATACTTTTCTGTTATATTACCCTATAAAAGATAACAATAAAAAAGTACCTTAAGTATCACGAATATCTGTGTATGTCTTATGTACACTTCATATAACTACTATACACAATGGCAATCTAAACTCCCAACAACTACATTATAATCACCGAGTTTGGCAAATTACCGAAAAAAAAAGAAAAAAGAAAGCTACAGCAGTTCAGAGCTCAGGCAACTTGATCTAACCAAGAGTGTTGTATATGTGTAGATATGACCACCAGTGGTCCTTACATTCATATTAAAGCTTTCCTTACAGTAACGAAACTACCCTGTTCCAGTACTTAGATTGAGAGAGGACCCTTCGATACAACTACCATGGCACATCCTCTTGCCTGAATCATTTATGCTGGAGTAACCAGCTTTTTGAGCTTTCACTTCATAGTACAATGAAAGGGAGAAAAGGGGGGGGGGGGGGGGGGAAGAGAGAGAGAGAGAGAGAAAGAGAGAGAGAGAAAGAGAGAAAGAAAGAGAGAGAGAGAGAGAGAGAGAGAGAGAGAGAGAGAGAGAGAGAGAGAGAGAGAGAGAGAGAGAGAGAGAGAGAGAGAGACAGAGAGAGAGACAGAGAGAGAGACAGAGAGAGAGACAGAGAGAGAGACAGAGAGAGAGACAGAGAGAGAGACAGAGAGAGAGACAGAGAGAGAGACAGAGAAAATCAGAGTCAGAGTTTTGAATCATACCAAGTAAAAGTGATTTTTGAAAAAATCTTTTAAAACCTTAAATATATTTCAAGCACAACCTGTCACCTTTGAGGCAGACAAACATTTCTGTCAATCAACACATACACTGCACTACTTGAGATCCATTCTTCTTTTACAGCAAAAATTCACTGCTGCTGCTCAGGCATCAGACCTTTTAAATGGTAAGCCTTCACTTTGACTGGGTTTTAAAGACGCCACT